AATGTATTAGTTTGTGGCCCTGTTCTGGCTTAGCTTTTGCAGTCTAACACCTCTCTGATGTTCAAGAGGATAAGGGAAGGCTGTTCCTTCCACTGAGCAACCCATGAGAAAAAGAGCACAGAGTCTTCATCTAAAGAACAAACTTCTAGATGTACTTGTAATAATTTTATCTTTAAAGAGTATCTTCCAAATCATCTGTTAATCATAAATAAGTCTCCAACCAACTGTCATTAAAAGACTTTTTCCTGTGTTTCAGTCTCCATCGGAAGAAAAAAAAGGAAGAGCAAGGTTACACAGCGAAACTAAGATTTTTGGCAAAGAATCTGAAAAGGTATTTCAACGTCAGACAAAAATCTACAAGACTGACAGCAGAGACATTTCAAGCCATACTAGAAAAGCTAAACAAAACAATTGTACAGCAGAATAGACAAAATCCCACCTTAGATGTCGGTTAAGTTCTTCTACATAATGCTTCTGGTCAAGTACAGCAGTAATCCCTCCATCTCTAATTGTAAAAATGAGAAGTTATTGATCAAGGAAAAACTTCTCTTCATTCTAAAGAGTTAGTTTGTGCTCGAGTTTTCAGTATAAACGTGCAAATATATCAGAGTTGGAAACTTCCCCCCGCCTTATAAAAATACTTGTGTGTAAGCTAGGTTAGAAGTAGCAAGAAGATAAGATATTTTTTAATCTGAAGACCTGGAAACTACTGGGATACCATTAAGATTTTAGAGGTGGAAGGATAGATTCCTAGAGCAGCAAGCATTAGAAAACTGTGTTACATGTCCCCTGTAACAGACCTGATTTAATCTTAAATGCTAAGCTTGGAAAAAATGTATTTCCTAAGGTTAGGCAGGGGAAGAGTATCTGGATGTTCCAGAAAGTAACTACTTTTCCACTGTTTCACTTACAGTCAACTTCAGTTTAGTTTTCAAAAACATTATGAAAATGAAAAGAACTGGAACACGCTTTTAATTTAACAAAGTGAAACTAATTAAGCACTTATTTGTACAATATGAAGAGATAACAGCTTTCAAGATACATTACTGATCTGAAGGCCAATCCTTCCTTTCAGAAGAAACAGGCTAAAAGCAGTCGCAGGTACTGCTGCTCTCATGCTATACCCCCTGTATTTTATGTATTCGTCACTCCTCATACTTTTCATTACTGCATCTCCTCAGCTACTAAACAGTAGAGTACTCTGAAGTGCAGGAGGTAAACAAACTATGAAGTCCTCTCCCTCCACTGCAAGTCTTCTAGATACAGTGATACTACCAGTTACAGTCTACGCTTCACTGAACACTTCAGTAAAAAGCAGACTGTTTTTAACTTAACTGACCTCTCCCACAAAGACAGCTACTTAACCAAGAGTATTTCTGAAATAATTCAAGGCAGCATTTTAGCAGGTGGCCTGGCAGATCATGCCTCCTACAAACAAACAAAAACGCTATCTGAAACTTCAGATGCTCTTAATGTGGTCCAAGCTCAGGACACAACAGACTCTCCACACTGTATTGCTGTTACAATTACCATAGTTTAACCTCTGAAAGCTAGTACTTTTGTTTAGCTAACAAATCCACTTAGGATTCTGGTTTTTTTTGGATGATTAAAAGAACTGGAGAGATCTGTAGCACTGACGCGCTCCCACAGACTGTCTGAAAGTGTTTGTTTTTCAAAAAACCTAATACTTAGGAAACTGTAATTCACCATACATACTGTTTGCCATCACTGTCCTGTGTTTCCTTAAGGTACAAGGAAAAATCAATCACTCCAACCTGAAAGGTAAATTTAAGACGTTAACCTATCTTCACAGTGCAATTCTCAATAGCAGGACGCATTACTTTACCTTTTTACCTTTTTCCAAATATAAAGTTTAAGTTTAGAAAGACAGATAACACCTATCTTCTTTCCAACTGAAGCAAACTTGTAAAAGAGCTGCTGTTTGTCATAAAAGCATCAAAATGAAGATCATATTTGGTGTGCTCAGTTTCCTAGCAGTTATTAGGTTTAACAGTGATTCCGTGAGCTGCTACTGACAGACAGATACTAATGTCATGTTTCCCACACTGAATTAAAAAAAAAAAAAAAAGTTACACACCCCCATACAGGACATACAATATCAAATTAAACACAGAAATGGCATTTGCTTAGAACATAAATACCCCAAAACATTCGTTGAACTGGGCTGTTTAGTTAAGGCAGCAGAGACATGTGACATCACCAAAAAAACCCCCTCAAAACAACAGGAACCCCTCCCCCTCCAATCCTCAAAATAAAAGCCTCTACAAACCCAGAAAACCCAAAGCTTAAACTGGCAGACTAATCTCTCCCTGGCAGAGAGATTCTGGCAGAAAATCTCTCTTGTAATTAGCTTAGTCCATTCAATTTTTGATTTTTCATAAGTCATTCAAATATCTGCTTATGAAAACAAAGATAAAGCCAACCCAACCTGTGTACCAGGTCTAAGAACTCTGGAACCATTTCATTGAAGCATTCACAGATGTGCTTAACTATTACTGGAATCTTTTAATGGCCCATGTTATTTAAGTTCTAATCTTCACCTGGGAATCCAAGTCTTCTCCTTTCAAGCAAAGGTTTGCATCAATCACATTCAGCCCAACTAGCAGACCCACAATGACTGCTCCTTCCTCTTCCATCATCAACGCGTCAGGTTCATAAAAGTCACTAGAAGAATTGCATATCATAACAATTATAATGGCACTTCCATGGCTGAAGTCACATAAATGGCAATGTAGTCCTTCTACAGCTCTAATGTATAGGCTGATCAGTCCCTCCTCAACAGTTTATTGCATAAGACAGAAGATGCAGAGCTTGCACAGAAAAGTAATCTACTTGTTTATCTGCAGGTTCCCTGCAAAAACAATGAAAAAGTGCTCCTCTGCAGGTTGCATGAAAAAGCTTAAACTTAAACTAGTCAATTAATGACCTCTTTCTATAGCAATGCAAGGATTCAGTGAATACAACCTACATGCTTCTGTTTTGTTACCTTAATAGATGCTTATTGTCCAAGAGTACTTTGAGATAATCTGCCAGTTTCTTTTGCATGAGTGCAAGATAAAGCCAAGCCCTTCCTCTTCCTACAGCAGTCCTAAAAGGAAACGTTGCAAGTTTTACCAAAACTAAAATATTTTAATAAGTAGATTCATGCAGTTCAAAAATTCTCCCTTTAAAAGGGGAGAGGAAGGTAGATATTTTTTGAAACACAAAATCCCAAGGGAAAGGCAGTGCTGTCTCCGGAACACAGAAGTATTCAGGTATATCCTACTGCTTCACTGAAGGGAAGTATCTTGCGAAATCTTTCTAGATCAGAAAGGCAGACAATACTTTCGACTAACATCATAACCTAACTACTGATGCAGTCCGCTAGCATGAGACTCTAGGTGTAATACTAGTTCCCTTTCACCATCCAGTATTATCCAAAATAAATACCACACGCACACACACAAAGTTAGGCAAAGCCGTACAAGTGATGGAAGGAAAAGAAAATAAAAGATCTGTGAAGACTCAGCAGCAAGCTTGTAGAAGTTTTCAAATGCTATTTTACCCTAACAGTATTGTTGAATTAGAAGTGCAGAATACCTTAAGATGTCCTCTTTACCTCTCGGAGGAATCAATGCCTCCAGCATACACCATCTTTCTCTTTGGGAATAAGATCTCAATAAGGCAAGGTGAGAGAGTTTAGGAAGGATTCTTTTTCCCCAGAGGCGTAAGTGAATTGTATCATCCCCAATAATCAACTTACTTCAATTCTGGCAGATTTTTAACACTAGTTGCTATATCTGATGCTTCAGGACAAAGCTTTTCCACTAGCTCCAAAGGACCAAAAAATGATTTGTTCTGTCCAATAAAAGTCTTCTTCACTAAAGAGAATATACAGAGACGTTTGTGAGGAAAAGTAACAGGCTTCTGCCTCCAACTCCAGAGTCACATATTTTAGTCGACACTTAACTTCATCTTACCACCTCCTGGTACGTAAATGGGGCATTAAAAGACCCTTGACTGTTTAGGTGGCGGACAACATAGGGCATATCAGAAGGTAAGCACACAGGAATATCAGGAGTACTGATTAGTAGCTTATAGTGCATGCAATTAATGCCATATTAACTGAAAAGGCAGCGAGACAGGACGCGGCCTCGTTTATCCGCCTCCCCTCCGGGCGTCGCGGCGGGCGCTCACCTTTCAGCCCGTGCTTGAGGCAGTGCTCCAGCACCACGAAGAACTGCTGCAAGGGAGGGAAGTCCGAGTCCAGGGTCCGGCCCAGGCTCAGGGCTGACTGGATCAGGGTTTTGATACTGAGCTTCATCATGTTCATGAGGTTTGCGCGCTCCTCCATCGCGTGGCAGCGGACAGCTAGGCAGGGGAGACACAGGTGGGAAAAGAAAAAATGATTTTTTTTTAAAATTGTTTTTTAGAAACGCAGGCTCCCCTTTCTGGCTGTCACAGCAGCGATGAGAGCAGTGCCGCCGGCTTGGTCTCCTTCTTGTCCGAGGGAACGGCTGTAGGGGCGCGGGGGCACAAAAACAAGGCCGGGGTGACCCCCCCTCCGCCGCGGACA